AACTAAACCAGTTTAACATCAAACACTAAACTAGTTTAAAACCAAGACCTAAACCAGATTAAAACCAGAACAAAACCAGTTTGAAACCAAAACTCAAACCTGTTTAAAACCCAGATCTAAACTAGTCTCCTTTATAAAATGAGCAGCAAACAGTTTAGTTCAGGTCAAGTCCCAAACCAGTTTCAGCAGGTTCACATCTACCTAAAGGTGGAGCACATCAAGGCTCTGAGACCAGAGACCTGGATCTATGGAGTTTCAGCTGAAGATCTTTGTCTGACCCAGAATTTCTTTTTGTTTGACTCGGCAGACACAGGCCTGGTCGACCCAGTCTGCTCCAGTCCCAGTATCTCCAGTACCACCAGTCCCAAGATGGAGCCGCCTCCATCTCCTCACGCCAACCGAAAGAAGCACCGGAGGAAGAAGAGCACCAGTAACTTCAAAGTCGACGGCCTCTCTGGTGCTTCTGAAGGTAACTCCATCCCCCCACCCCTCACCTCACTTCTCCCACATGTGGTGGACCCCTCCTCAGTCCTGGACCTTCCACAGACCTGACCACCATGTTTACTAAGACTCCAGACCTCCTGGAGGAGGGAAGGATCTCTCCGTCCTGCATCCTGTCAGCCCCCCACCCCCCCAATAAAATCATGTCTGATGAAACTCTGAACTGTCTGTTGGCTTGAGCTGATCTGGTTTGAAGGGCATGTGAACGCACTGAATGTCACACTGGAAGCTGCTTTATTGTGTTTAAACCTGGAACCGAGGACCGTTTCAACCAAAGTCCAAACCGGTTTGAAACGCTGTCTAAACAGACTTAAAACAAGTCCAGAAGGAACTAAAACCAGTTTCTAAAAATGACTAAAATAACCATAAAGCCAGTCCAAAACCAGTTTCAATCAGACTTTTTTTTATTGTCCCCCACACGGAGCGAAGAGTTGGAACTGGACACGCCCTCCATCCGTCTGTGCACGTTGTGAGCATGATAACTCGAAAAATTATTTCGATATCAACTTCATGTTGTTGAGTGGCTGCATCTAGGAGTAAGAAAGGTCACCTTCAAAACTTGGGTTGCCACGTCAACATCCAAGATGGCCGCCTCCTTATCTAGATGAACCAACCACCCCGATCATTTGAGGAACCTCTGCTTTCTAGTTTTTATTTTGATTAAAAGTATAGTTTCCTCAAATGACTGTGGGGGCCAAAGATGAATGTATGGGTTGGGCCAGGGCCACCATTCGCCCCCCCCACCGGCTCCTCCTCTGCTGCTGCAGTGATAAAATGGTTCTCTCCAGGCTCCGTCACTCTGCGCTTCCTGGAACAAACAAAACCTTTCTCTGTTCTCTTCCACTGGAACATAAAAACATTTAGGTTTACTTCATTCTCTGCTCAGTCCACAAAAACACTCACCTCCAGAACTACAAACACTCACTTCCAGAACTACAAACACTCACCTCCAGAACTACAAACATTCACTTCCAGAACTACAAACACTCACTTCCAGAACTACAAACACTCACTTCCAGAACTACAAACATTCACTTCCAGAACTACAAACATTCACTTCCAGAACTACAAACATTCACTTCCAGAACTACAAACACTCACCTCCAGAACTACAAACATTCACTTCCAGAACTACAAACACTCACTTCCAGAACTATAAACACTCACTTCCAGAACTACAAACATTCACTTCCAGAACTACAAACACTCACCTCCAGAACTACAAACATTCACTTCCAGAACTACAAACATTCACTTCCAGAACTACAAACACTCACCTCCAGAACTATAAACACTCACTTCCAGAACTACAAACATTCACTTCCAGAACTACAAACACTCACCTCCAGAACTACAAACATTCACCTCCAGAACTACAAACACTGACTGCTCAGGCCCTCAGAGACGAGGACATTGGAGGACCTCCTGTTGGTTTTTGTTTCTTTTTAACGTTGTGTTTTTGTGTTGTTGTTTATCACAAACAATAAACAAACATTGGTTTTTAGGAAAACAAACGTTCTACATGTGGAGGCCTTTAGTCTCGGAGGAGCAGCTGAAGATAAAGGTTCCATTTCAGTCAGCCAGAGGAAGACTCTGCTCTTCTTCTCGTGTCGGCAGCAGCTGCTTTCTGATTGGCTGATCCCAGAACAGACCCACCCACCATCAATCAGTCTGCACTTATCATTCTTTGATTTTGTAATCGGATCGTTTGATCTGCGCTCGTTTGCTCCGTGAACGCTTGAACAGATGCAGCGACGGCGGCAGATGTGTTCCTCTCTTCATCACCGTGGCAACGAGCAGCTGACGAGCTGATTGGCTGTCCAAGTGACGGATGGATTCCCTGACCTGTTTCCTTTCCTCACATCCTTCCTCCTCTCCTCCACTGGCTTCCTCCTCTCCTTCCCACCTCTCCTCTGCTCCTCAGCCTCCATCCCTCCTCTCTGAAGCGCTTCTTCTTCACCTCCTCGCCTCCATCCCTCATCCTGAGAGCTTTAAGTGAAATATTATAAATAATGTGGCGTGTTGAAATCTTTTATCAGCTGTGTCACTTCCATTATTCACCAGGCGATTAGTAACAGTCTTCCCAATTTAGCCATTAAGACCTGAGCGCGCTCAGTGAGCCGGCACGCCGTGCACACCGCTGAAGTATCTGTGTGTCAGAGCGCCGCTCGGGGAGATTCATGAGGAGGGGCCCGCCCCCCCTCCCAGGCCTCGCTGTCTCAGGTAGGACGGCAGAGGTTCAGCATTAGACTCAGGGGATTTCTACTGTTTACTTCCTGTTTACTTCCTGTTTACATCCTGTTTACTTCCTCTTGATGTCCTGTTTACTTCCTCTTGATGTCCTGTTTGTCATGTTTACTTCTGTTTACGTCATGTTTACTTCCTGTTAACTTCCCTTTTGATGTCCTGTTTGTCATTATTATATCCTGTTTATTTGCTGTTTACATCCTGTTTATGTAATTTTACATCCTGTTTACTTCCTGTTTACGTCCTGCTGCGGTCCGGTTCAGGTTGGAGGAGGTGTGTATCAGAATCTGTAGTGAGTGTCTGCGGTTCTGATTAAAAGAAAAGAACTGAAGGAACGGAGTCCATCTGATGGAGAGAGGAGGTGAACCCCCTCCCTGCTACTAGAGACCCCCCCCCCCCCCCTCTGATGGAGAGAGGAGGTGAACCCCCTCCCTGCTACTAGAGACCCCCCCCCCCCCCCTCTGATGGAGAGAGGAGGTGAACCCCCTCCCTGCTACTAGAGACCCCCCCCCCCCCCCTCTGATGGAGAGAGGAGGTGAACCCCCTCCCTGCTACTAGAGACCCC